TTGATTTTATAGTCCTAAGGTCTATATTCTAGAAGTCCCTTAAGATATTTAGCTTGAAATACCAGATACCCTTTATACTCCTAGGGAATTTTACCAGTTATAGTAGTCTTTATAGTCCCCCTATAATAGGCGAACTTATTATTCCCTACTTTAATACTTATAACCTTAAATATATCGATCTTTTCTCCTCTATATTTAATACTTACTACCTTAACTAGGCTAACCTATTACTCGATTATAAGCTTTCCTTCTATATCGACTAAGACAACAGTAACTTCTTAGTCTACCTATACCTTCTTCTATTATTATAGACTATATTTTCTAGAATCCAGAGCTTATCGTTTATTACTGGCTACTTCTTATAGCAGGCCTATAGGGGTTATATTCCCTTGTACTTTACCCTATTATAGCTCCTTTCTTATACTTCCTATCTTATTGGTTAGATACTCCTACAGGTTATACAGTCGTAGGTGGCTACCATCCTTCCAACTGATATCTAGGTCGTATTCCTTATACTAAGGTAACCCTAAGATCATATCCTTAGTGGTTCCTATATCTATAATGTCAAACACCACCCTTGTGGTTTTCCCTTCCACCTCTATATCCAGGGGTTTAGTTTCCCTTCTAACCATCTAGGTTAGGAACGGTCCTCGTACTAAATAAGGTACTTTCTTCATTCTCCAGGGGATCTTACATTTATTGACTAGGGTAGGGCTAATAAAGTCTACTTATAAGCTACTATCTACTAGTATTAAGGCCTATAGGTAGTTCTATTTAGCGATAACCTAGAGCCTATTGTCCTAGCTCTGGTCCTAAACTATAACCACCTCTATTAGGCTAGCTAGGAGATCATTATAAGATCGTCGTTTACGCCAGTTCTACCTATACTATACAACCTGTCGTTTTACTTCTAAGCTTAGTGGTTTACAGGCTCCTCAGAGAGCCCTAAGTCTTTTCCCAAATCCCTTTAGTACTATAGGACGTTCCTGTCCTCTCCTTGGCTTATAGCGTCAATTATCCGGTACTCCTTTAACCACTTAACTACCTATAGTATAGGTTATCCCTATCCTATAAGTCGCTTATTGATTTTCTAGAGTTTCTTAATTTTATATCGGCTCTATTCTAATTCTTCCTGTTAATTTCCATTTATTTCCTACAGTTGTTATTGCTTATAGACTCCTTTTTAGATCCTTATTCGTAGACCGAAAACTTCCCCTTTTAGCCTATTAAATACTTTCTACAGATTGTCAATCTTATCCTATAACTTAAATATCTTCTTTTTAAGGTAATAGATATTAAGTCCTAGTTCCTCTCCCTTATAAGTAGTATTCTATTCCCCGTTAGTATCCTATATAAGTATCTATCTACTATATATAGATATATCGGTTCCTTTAAAGAATAGTACTATTTATCTGAGTTTATCGGTATAAAGGTAGTAGTTATTATCGTAGATAGGTTTCCACTTATCCTAATATCTTCCTTCGAGGTCTATAAATACCTCTTCCTCGAACCTGAGCCTTTCTTCGTCGTCTAGTCCTATCTACCCTTTATAGTTGTAGATGTCCTCTAGGTTGTCCTACCTATAATTGCTAGCTATAACTTCCTTGAACTTAACTCCTTTCTCAATAATAGTAGCTTTATATCCCGGTACCAGAGACTATTAGCCTAGGGTCTTACCTTATCTATATAGGCCCCTATATTCACGTTTATAGTAGCCCTTCTTCTTATAGTTATAATAGGTGACGTTAGACTTATTATAAGGCTATCCGTTATACTATTAAGTTTAGATTATATCAACCTCTATAAGTCCTGGGTAAATACCGAAAGCTATACTTCCTTACCATTTCTTTCCTTTATTAATGTAATTTCCCCTAACAACCAGTTTCTACTGTCCTTTCTATTATTGTCTTCTAGTATATAGCCAGTCGTCGATATAGATAGCCTTTATAATATATTCATCTAAATTATCTAGGCAATCCTCCTTATAGAGTTTATCCTTTATATCCTCCTTTAGGCTATTATAAAACAGAGATATAAGTCTATCTTTATTGATCTTAGCCTAGATAGTGTCTTATCGAAATAATATAGTATATATCGAGGTAGATTTACTTTAGTGAAATCTGGCTAACCAGTCCTAAATATAGACCTTTTCATCTCCGTCCCTAAATACCTTTATAAGTTCCGCTTTAAAGCAGGTATAGTCCTGGAAAACCCTTTAGGTAAACTCCCGCTGTTCCTCTAAAATCTTCTTTACATAGTCCTTCAAGGTAGGTTTAAACCACCAGGCAGGCTGGCCTATAAGTCAGGAGGTAGTATAATAGGTCTTAGTATATTCTAAGTAAAACCGGTCCTAGTAGTATTCGATATAGGAGGCTATTTCTATAAGGAACCTTAAGAGGTCCTCCTTCTTGCCCTTATACTTAGCCGGTACCTCTATCTTAACCTTAGGTACTTCAGGAGCTATACCGCCGCTGCTCGACCTTTCGACAGCCTCGACCTAGGTAGCATTTTCGTTAATGATTTACTAGTTGACCCGGAGCTCAGCCTTAAGTCTGATAATTTATTCCTAGAGCTCGACGAACATCTCCTCAGCCTCTTTTTCAGTAGCGGGGATCTTGGCTATAGAGCCTATATTGACGTTGGAGGGTATAGCGCTTATAGTGTTTAGTATACCTTCGTCTGAACCGTGATAGAATCAAAGGGAGTAAGCAACGTATAACGAATCGTCTTAACCACACTCTATAAGGGTTCACTGAAGGTAAGGTAACTAGGGTTGTAATTCGGTAAAGCTAAAAGGTTTACAACGAGATAATAATCTGGTCTTAATGTTTATAGTAATTAGTAGCGAACAAGTTGTATTGCTTACTGGAGAACTCCCAGAGTCCTCTAGAACGAGTGACTATATACTATTTAGGAGAGAGAGTATCCTAAGTACCTTTATACCTTGATCGTGGTGATCGTTCCACGATCTATCGATCACCTATTCTTAGCGTTTTGAGTGATCCCACGATCGTTCCATCGATCCATCGATCACTCCCGTGCTGGTTCCTGATTGGTTGCTGCTGACTGGTCCGTGCGCCCAGCCAACGTGTTGGCCATCAGTCCGTGACACGACTCTAGGGCGAAGTTGTAGATAGGCCCTATAGTAGTATAGTAGTTGGCAACTTTGGACTAGACTTCTGCCTCCAGGTATATCCAGACGAACAGCTACTGATCCTAGGCCTCTCCAATAAATGCCGAGTCCGTCTGTAGCACCCGTCGGATCGTTATCTTCCAGGCTGCGAAGGACTTCTTAGTACTATCGAAACGGGGAACGTTCTTCGTTGGTTTCCTTATAAGGGCGGGTCCGGTTGGAGGCCTGCTTGGTGGCGTATCTTCGGCGGGAGGGGGGTCAGGTGGCCCTGAGGGGCCACCCAGGGAGGGTATATCCTAGGCCTGGCGGAGAGCCGCCTATGCTCGTTCTTGTTGTACGATAAACTCCCGTACTTCTTGGAGCTCGTTGGCTTGTTCTGCAAGAGTGGTCTAGAGTACCTGGAATTAAGCCCGAAAGAACTCCGTGAAGTCGGCGTATAGGCCTGGTACCGTGCCCGAGGTGCTGGCTGACATTTCGGTGTCGTGTTGTCCGTGGGTCATTGTCGTTCTTCGTTCGGAGGAAGCTTTCTCAAATGTGAGGAACTGGCCCTATGGCGGAATGCAGATAGGCGTTTATTATGTTGATTGAGAAAGCTTGTAGAAAGAGAACTACTTGGGGTTATGCCTTGCTCATGGCTCCTTATATCCTGATGTCCCTCCCCCCCCTGATGTGCGCGCTCAGGGGTCGGGCACCTCGAGCTCCACCTCCGAGCCGGGTCCGGGACCCCGGCTCGCGAGTGCCTCGGGAGAGGGACAGCCCCGCCACGTCAACCCAAGGCCATCGGCCACGATCCAACACGACTGCTCATGGCCCTAGGCCTGAGCCCTTGACAAGGGCGATGTTTGAGAGCCCAGCTACCGTCAGCTGTCTCTTTTGCCAATATAGAAAAGAGGCAATTCGTCCTTCGCGTTGTTGTTCTTCTCTGGCGCTCCAATGAGCCGCTTGGAGGGTAACGAGATCAGTCGTATGTATAGATCACTGTCGAACTGCCGTTCTTCTCCTTCGTAGATCTCTGGGTGACGAAGGCATAGCCTTTTGGCTTAGCCTATAGATTGATTGATTCAAACAAGGCCTTCCGGGACGCGAAATAGCGTTCGGGTGGCAGGCAGTCGTCTGGAAAGGTAGCCATTGCCGCAGCGTTGGTGGTGATGGCATTCAGGGGTTCAGGGGCACGCAGTTCAGGGGCGCGCAGTTCGGGGGCTGGGCGTGGGGTAATATTTTGCTTATATAATCTGTTTTGCTTACATAATTGAGACGGACCCGTCTCTCTAGTGGGAGCCGTCCATGACTTACACAGAACCCATAAATCCACATAGCTATTCGACATAGCAAACTATGACCGTGGCGATGATGGATAAGGGCCGAGGGTGAACGTAATGCTAATTACATTTCTGGCTCTGAACACAGGCTCAAGAGAGGGCGGTTAAAGTCCACTATTTGCGGTGTCACAAGTGTTCGAAATTGTCAGGTTTCGACTGCACTGCCACAACACCAGCCACTGACGTCATATTCAATGAAATGGGTGGGGTCAATCATCATCCCCTGTTTCGCTGCAGGAAAGTCAAGTTCACGGCAGGCTCGACATTGAACAACTGCATCATGGGCGTCTGGTTACCGGTTATAGGACCCTTGCAAGCCAATGCACACCTACCAGGTTGATGTCATGGGTGACGTGCATCATGGCATCTACAAACAGATCGTTTGTCTATAAATCCGAGCTAAACCGTTGATTTCGTTCCAATCCCACAAACCATCAACCACATCAATATTTCATTGAACCAAAGTCCAAAATCCAACACACCCACCAACCATACCTCCAAACTTTGAACCCCCAACACCACCAAAAATCCCTCAAAAAACAACCAAAATGCCTCTCTTCTCCCGCCATCGCGCCGCCCCCAGAACCAAAACCACAACCACCCGCCGCGGTCTCTTCCGCAGTCGGCGTCAGCCCCACACCCATCATCATCATCATCACCATCATGCAACTACCACAACGCGACCTGTCCACCACCACAAGCGACATGCCACGTTAGGGGATAAGATTAGTGGGGCGCTGTTGAAATTGAAGGGGAGTTTGACTGGACGGCCGGGGCAGAAGGTATGATATTTTTGATCTTTTTTGATACTTTACAGTGGGTGCTAACAGTGGGATAGGCTGCTGGGACGAGGAGGATGCATGGGACTGATGGAAGGGGAGCGAGGAGGAGGAGATTTTTTTAGAAGGTGAATGAGAGTGGGACAAATGATGTGATATGATAGGATAGGATATGATACGATATGATGGGGTTATGTAATAAGAGGGAGGCTGGTGTGCCGCTGTGTTATTTTGTATGAGATACCCTGGGTAATGAAGTCGGGACAGTATTTGTTAAGTTGTTACGTTTGAACTACACTTGAGCAGCGAACTAGGCTCGTTTAATAACGAGTTGTGATCATTTCTTACTCTACATTGGTTAACTGTGACCGTGACTGTGAATCTTGAACCCTTGACCCTTGAACGTAGTTAATTGTCAAGCGAAACAGCAAAGAATCCGATGAAAGAAACCCAAATCCCCTTGCCATGTTCTTCCCCTTGACCCGCCACGGAATACCATTCCCCTTCGCTCATGCACCCTGTCCCTCTCCACCTCCCACTCCATCCTCATCCATGCCAAAGACTCAGTCTTCCTCCTGATCAACATCCCTAACCCTCCCCCTCTCCCTCTCCTCCAACCGCCTCTGCATCTCCCTCTCCCACGACTCCAGGTCCGTCCAGTTCGGCGCAGCGTGTCGGCGGCGCCGGTTGCGGTGGCTCATGACGGGTATTCTGGCTCCTGGGTATAAACTGTCTGCAGCAGCGGCGGTCGTGGTGGTAGTGGTCGCTGTTGGTGCGAGCAGAGCTGCGAGCGAAGGTGCAGGTGTAGCTGTGCGAGTCGCTGTGGGTGTGGCTCTACGCCCGGCCCTGGGCGTATCGCGGGGGTCGTTCCCGGCAGTGGTGCTGGAGCTAGTACCGGGCGTAGTAGTGCCAGCCGTAGTGCCAGCAGCGGCATCAGCAGCCGCGGTAGTAGCAGCAGCATCACCCGTACCAGCCCTCCTCCTCTCCCCAGATACCAACCTCGGAAACCCCCTCTGATCATAACTCAACCGAATATTCCTTGCCGCTCTCCTCGCGGCCACAGCATCCGGAGAAAACAGCTCCCGAATCAGGCCGTCCAGCTCCCGAGACGCCGCATAGCGGGAACTGGGCACCCCCATCGCTGCGAGCTGTGCCATTTCACGCTCGTCGGCAGCAAGACCGGCGGTGGTCGCTGAGCTTGCTGTTGTGGGCTCGGCGGGGAGCGTGTCCCGGCGCCGAGACCGAGCGGATAGTCCTTCGAGGTGGCGATCTGGTTCCGCATCGTCATCATTGACACGGCCGTTGCCGTTGCTGCCCTCGTCATGGATAAACGAGAACAACAACGGCGACGTGCTGCTGCCAGCGAGTCCCACGTGCTGGCCGGTTTGGATGGCCGTCCGTCGCCGGCCAGGGTTGACTCGCTGGCGAGGAACAGGCGGAGGAGGCAGCTGAAACAGGGAGAGGTAGCAGCCTCTCCTTAAAGAGATGGCGGATCTCCCTTCCGCACCGCGGACACCGGCCCAGTGCCTCGCTGCGGATTGCGAGACCGCGCCCCGGTCCGAAGCTACCGAGGATGAATCCTGCTCTGCCGCCGTTTCTGACTCGTGGGTTTGGGCTGGTGCTTGCTGCTTGTCCTTTTGTTGTTGCTCCTCTTGCTCGCTAGGGCCGGTTTCTTTGTCCGGCAGCGGGGTGGTGGCCGATGCCTCGGGGCTAGCAGCATGCAGCGAGGACAATGTCCAATCGGCAGGTGTGAAGTCAGGGAGCGATGGGGAAACGGGCTGTGAAGAGGGCGCACCCCATGGCGTCGGGCCGGTCCGCGCTGCGTCGGTCGTGGGTGTCTCTGTTGATGTCTCTGATTCTGTAGGGGATGTCTTTGTCTCGTTTGTTCCGCTCTCCACATGACTCTGTTCTTTCTCCCTCTGCTCCTCATCCTCTCCGTCATCCTCTACCATTTCCCTCTTCGGCTCCTCAACTTTAGGTCCTTCTCCCAACACCCACAGCGACTTCTCCCGCTTAAGCACATTGACCCGCTCATTCTCCCTCAGAAACAAGCTCGGAATGGGATCGCGTAGATGGTTCAGCGACCTGCTCCTGCGGCGTATGTTGGTCATTGTCTTGCTAGGCTTCAGGGCACTGGTCAAGCCAGTAATGGAGTCGGGGATCGGAGAGTCCAGTATTGAGTCCAGAACGGGGCCGCTGGACAGGTTCCTGGCTGTCTCCTCGGGAAGGCTGAATCCTGGAAGCGATAGCGTGCTGGACCCCACGGCGGCGATACCCGTGACATGGCGGATTTGGTGAGGCTTGGGTACGCCGATAGTTGGAAGCGGCGGTTTGCTCGACTTGCCTTTGGAGGCCGTATTGCTGTCCCTCGAAGTCGAAAAGATACGCGATGATTTGGTTGACAACTTCTTCAAGAACCGAGAGAGCTTGTTGCTCTTCTTCTCCTTGGCATCTGCCGTTTGCGTCTCAGCCACCGCTTCAGACTCGACCGGAGGCACTGGCTCACCCGTACCCGACTTAACCGTACCCAACGTCGCGGCAGATCCAGCCGCAGACCCAACCGCATTCCCAACACCCCCCTCATACTCCCTAAACCCCCCCCTCTCCCCCCCCAACGGCACCCCCACGGCAGCAAGCCCCACCCTCTCCCCCAACCGTTCCCACCTCGCCCACCCCTCCGACCTCATCTCCTCCATTCCCACCAACGGTTTCAAGCTCCGACTGGCCTTCAACATCCGATCCACTTTCCCCCTGACCTCCCTCCCGCGCGGCGTGAACGGATTGCCGTCGTATCGGTGCTGGTGGCGGTGGTGTGGTAGGAGGGAGGTTGTCGTTGCTGAGGTTGGGATACCCCCCCCTACTCCGCTTCCTTTGACTCCGGCTCCAGCTCTGTGACGGAAGAAAGGGTTGGGAGAGGGGTTGACCAGGGAGGATGTGGAGGATGAGGTGGGGAGGAGGGGGAAGGAGGGGACGGAGGATGAGGGGGGGGGATGGGGAATAGGGTAAAAGGGGTGCATGCGGAGGGGGTCGATGGGGCCGGTGAAGGAGTGTGGGTAGAGAGGGGGGGTGGTGGTGGGGGGGAGGATCCAGGGTTGGGTGGTGTTGGTGTAGTTTTGGACTGTATTCGGGGTTTTGAAGTTCTTGTTGTTGTTGCTGTTGGTATTTGAGACGACAGTGTTCTGCTGGGGAACAGAGAAAGGGCTGTCCGTGTTGGTACCGCCGAAGGAACTGGTTTGCAGAGAGTCATCCGCCGTGGGAAGGGTATACTGGAGGAAGTCATCGACAGAGCCTTCCTCGAGTGTGTTCCTTGGAAACGACGACAGCCTCAGAGGTGATGGAGGGGGCGGCCGGCCAGGCGCCGGGATAGGAGGAGGCGGGTGGTCGGGAACAGGCGGAATGAGTGGGTGAGAGATGTTAATGTTAGCAACTTCGCAATCGCCTTGGTCGCTGGCCAGTTGGACCGCATGCTCCGGAAGCAAGTCTTGGTTCTCGGAGTCTTGGTTCTGGGACTGGCGCTGTCTGTTGATCTGGGTCGGGCGAATGGTCTCGACGCTGTCGGTCTCCGACACGAAGCCGTCATCTTCGACTGTGTTCTCTTGGCTGCCGTCGGCTCGGTAAACTCCGAAACTCTCTGCAGCGCCGGCGTAGTACTCTTGGGAGTCGCTCATTGTTACTTGAATTGAAACTGGGAATCAAAGAAACGGTTGTCTTATCGCTATATTTCCTAGGTCAATTTATGTCCCAGGAAATTAAGAAACTGATGGATCTTGGGATTTACCTACTTTGAACTACGCCTCGAAACTTGATGATGGAAATAGTTGAAAAACAACCTGCTTCGTCGATGGAGCTTGGGTAAAATTCTCGCTGATCTCGAGATGCTAGGTTCCCTGAGGTTTGGAATCTACTTCAAACTGGCTGACAATCGTCAAATTAGAGCAGATTCTTCGTGATGTTCACAAGTCAGGCCAAGCTTGGAGAAGATGGATTACAGAGAAAGAAAGATGTCGAGGAGAGAAGGAAATAAACGAGAACTGAAGGAAGATGTGGCGGTGAAAAGGAAAATGGCGGGAAAGGAAAGAAGATGGCGAAAAGTGAAGGAAGATGTCGAGGAAGGAAAGAAAATCTCGTGGAACTAGTGAAAATTTCAACAAAGGAAAGAAGAAGTCGGGGAAGGAATGAAACCGGCGGAAAAGGAAAGAAGAAGTTGAGGAAAGAAGGAAAATGTCGACAATGTGAAAAAGGCGTGAATAATGGATCGCCCAGATTTCTCTCGACATTGAGAAACTCAAGACAAACTCTTTAAACAACGACTTACCTCGTGAGGATATTCCCTTGGATGCTTTCTCCTTGTAGAACAAGAGAGGAATCGTTCGTTCACTGCTCGTTCTTGGGTGACGTAAATGAGTGAACGTGGGAACAGGAGGATGCATGGTAGAATTTTGCTATTTATTCAGTTCCTTGTGTGAGTCGCTCTCTAAATCGTGTCTCGGCCAACCAATGGTGCGGTCCCGCCCGGATCAGAGCCCGGGAGACGTTCACTCGGCCCCGCTTTCCCGGAGCACCTCCGGTGGGAAGGCCGATGCGACCGGAACATTCCACACGAGCGCAGGATGGGGGATGGCATAGAGGGACCCCCACCATGAAGTTACTTGGAGTGATTGGGGCCATCGGACGCAATATTGATCTACTATGCACGGTGGCAGACTGGGACATTTCAAGGCTCGTTATGATCACTCCGGAGGACATGCTACGGTAATAGCTGACATGGCTGTTTTGTGGACGACCGTGAGGTTAGAGCAGGTCGGGAATGGCAGTGCCAATGCCGTCAAAGTAGAAATCAACTTCATGGAAAAGGATTGCATCCGATGCACTTGCACTGACAAAGGGGAATGTTTGAGGGTGCAAAAGAGTTGAATCTCCTAGTTTGTCCTCCTCCCGAAAGTCAGCCAAAGCTGCTACAACCAGTGATGAGATAATCCAAGCCTGGGCCAAAACGTGAATTTATGAAATTATTCCACGTCGCGTTATCCACCCGAGTAGCTCAACCTTGGGAAGCAAGCCTTTCCTGTGTTTGATCATGGTCACTCACGCCGGTGAAGGGACCAACCCCTGAATCCATGTTGATAAACAAACCACACGGGGCAACAACTGCACTTTCTCAATGTTATGTCGAATTCAGAACAGATTCTCCAGAGGTCCCAATTCTATTAATGAAACAGGCTGCTCAGCTGCACCTTTGACCTCATCTATCTCTTAGTCGGCCCTTTCACCTCGTTGAACTCTCATGCTTTTACACCAAAACTGGCAATGAACACAGCGACACAGCAACGCAAACCCCTGCCAAGGAATGATGTCTGTCGGCGAGTGGAGACTGATTACCTCAGCATTGCCAAGAAGCCCTTTGAAATCTCTGGCCTGCCATTGGCGAATGCGAGTGCGTAAAACCAAGTGGGCCACCCCGCAGACATCCGCGGCAGAGGGGGACACTTGACACACCTTTTCGGCCGTCGCTTTTCCTGTCCTCGTGCGGTTTGCCGGAGGCGAATTGCTGTCTGTCCTTTTGACTTTCTCGTCGCTTTCCTCCATTTATAAGTTTTGTACATAAGTAGCAGACATTCCCCGAAGAAAATCGCCAATTCGACTTTTCTCCCACGCGCAGACCCGACACGAGCACGCCACAGCGGCCACGTAACCTCGGAACACAGCCATCCGACGGCATCTGCGAGATATCTCCGGCCCCGGTTCCTCGACGCTCAAAACCCTCGACCGCCTTGCCGAGTCAGCCGACATACCCATTGCTCTCGACTCCAGCAATTCTTCCACAAACAACCAGAACAGAAGAAACCGCTGTCCCGGCCGAATCACAACACACGCAATGTCTTTCTCAAGCCTCGTCCAGGACTTGTCGCTCCGCGACTCGGGCGTTCCTCGGCGGCGCGGCGAAGCCTCTGTGTCGACTGTTGATGACCGCGCGTCTCATATCTCGATGGCCAAGTCATACACTAGCACGGCCGCTACGAGCGTGAGCATCGCCGGCGACATTGGCAGCCAGCTCCACGCCGGCTACAGCCACCCGCTCGCGCGCTCATGGCAGGCCGAGCGCCAGCTCACCAAGGTACTTACCACACACTCACAGGCCGGCCCATTTGAGGTTTTGTGGGAAAATAAGATGAACGGCCCCGCTGACAAGAGGTTGATTAGTCCATGCTCATCTACCCGCTATTCATCTCAGACCAGGACGACGAGGAAGTCCTCATCCCCTCCCTACCAAACCAATACCGCCGCGGCATCAACAAGCTCGTCCCCTTCCTCGAACCTCTCGTCCGCAAGGGCCTACGCTCCGTAATCCTCTTCGGCGTGCCCATGCTCCCCGGCACCAAAGACGCCCTCGGCACCTCAGCCGACGACCCGGAAGGCCCCGTAATCCGCAGCATCCGCGTACTCCGCCAGCGCTTCCCGCAGCTCTACATCACCTGCGACGTCTGCCTCTGCGAGTACACCTCCCACGGCCACTGCGGCATCCTGCGCGACGACGGGAGCCTCAACAACCAGCTCTCCGTCGACCGCATCTCCGACGTCGCCGTCGCCTACGCCCGCGCCGGCGCCCACTGCGTCGCGCCCTCTGACATGAACGACGGCCGCATCCGCGCCATCAAGCTCAAGCTCATCGAGGAAGGCATCGTGCACAACGTGACACTCATGTCCTACGCCGCCAAATTCTCGGGGTGTCTCTACGGACCCTTCCGTGACGCCGCCGGGTCGGCACCGTCCTTTGGCGATCGCCGCTGCTACCAATTGCCCCCGGGCGGCCGGGGCCTCGCGCGCCGCGCTATCGTGCGCGATATTGGCGAGGGCGCGGACATCATCATGGTCAAGCCGGCGGGGCAGTACCTGGACATCATCTCTGATGCTAAGGAGCTCGGCCGGGACCTGCCGATTGCTGCTTACCAGGTTAGCGGGGAGTTTGCGATGATCCATGCTGCGGCTAAGGCGGGGGTGTTTGATCTTAAGGCTATGGCTTTTGAGAGTACTGAGGGTATTCTCCGTGCCGGGGCGACGATTGTTGTCAGCTACTTTGTGCCGGAGTTTTTGGACTGGCTGTCTAACTAGGTCATTCCTAAACGTGAACGTATAGATCGAGACCTGCCGCTGTATATTTGTTATTGAGACCGGCAGTAGCGAGTTGCTTGGTGTTTGGCGTTTTCGGCGCATGCTTTGGTGGATTAGGGTTACTGGTTCAAAAGCGTGGGATTACCTGTCGAACTTTTTCATGATTTTCCTACCGTCAAAAACTGGTGCTATAGAACAATCGGCGTGCGCGCCATAGTGGTGGATGACTTAGCAGCCGCATAGGGTCCTCAACTTACTTCTCCACTTACTTCTCTTCCTCTCGCTCTCCCTCAGCCGACTCACGATATAATGAATGAACACACGACTCTGTTGGGGGCGGAGAGCTCGTGTGTACAGCCTGCGCCGCGTTGCGCCGTGCTGAAACCTTGCGCCGGGGGGCCATATGGCGGTGGGTGGGCGGGCTGGCCCGGCCGACTCCTACGGCCTTCAGGTGGTTGGTGCTGTGGGATGGTGTTGACCCTGTGAGGTTATTTGAGGGCAGAGTGCGGAGGAAGCTGGAAATATTTGTTTGCCGTTCTATGTGCGGCGCAGAGGGTCTACATTGGAGGTTGCTAGAGGATAGATCAACATCGTTTCTTCACTGGACCCTAAGGTTCGTTCCCGTTGCTCGCAACCTCCAAAATATGGAACCCATCTGTTATAAACCGTTCCGTGTCGCTCAGTTCTGCCATCTCTCCGGCTATCTTTTTTTCTTTAGACGTTGCATGAAACCGGTTTTGTACCTGTCAACTACAGACCCCACCCGCGGCGGACTTCATAAAGGTGGGCCTTGAGCTTTTCGACGACCCTTCTTTTTTTAACCTTCTCTTTCGAAGTCCTAAGCCTGACAATTCATCTCTGTATGGAGGTCGACAACTTTCCAATTCTGAAACGTGCAGGTGCTGTTCCACAGGTGGTTAAATGCCCCAAATCAGCAAATAATTACAGTGGACATCCCCCCAACTCCGGCACAGCAGGCCGCCCCCGCAGCGGCCCGCCAGTGCACAGTGAGATGGTCCAAACACTGCGCAACCCCTGCCATCGACAGGACCCAGATTTCCAAAACCCCCAACGCTTCAGTTGAGATTCCTTCTCTCTTCCTTCTTCCTTCCACCGGGCGCCCAGTCTTACCGGTCATCTCCGGACATGGAAAGGGACCGATTGATAACGGGGTATATCGCTAGGTGGTTTTGTCGCGCTCAAACGGCTTTCGCGGGATTGAAGTTGGGAGTGGTTGTTGATTGAACAGCCAACGGACGACATCGACTCCGAAGAAGAAGTTTGCGATTTCGACACGGCGGCACAGATACGGGAGATCAAGAAACATGCTTTGTTACACATGCATTTGCTGCCGAGTCCCAGCGGTTTGGGATTTGTCTAATCGCCCAGTTTCGGGAATCGATTGACAATGGTCGCCGTGATCTTACTAGAGTTCCTCGAGTGCAGAAGTGGTACATCTGCGATTTGCCAACTGCATGCTCTCGTGAGCTCCGGAAACAGACAAACAAGATAGACCGGACCACCACTTCAGATATCCATCCACAACTCACGAGAGAAAGGAAAAGCCTTAAAACCTTCCTTCATTCCTTTATTCAAGTCCAACTCAAACAACACGCCGAGGAAGTAAATACGCAACAACTCCGCAGGAGGATGGCCCACGGCCGCGGCCAGGGGTGAGCGTGGCCCGGTTGGTGGTCCACCGGCCCGGCCGTCTCATAATAGCTCACAGACCAGAGTTGGGGGGAGGAGGCACTTGGGTCTTGTGTTGATGGGATTGATGGGATGCCAAGGGGGGATATTAACTGGGGGATCTGCTGCTTGCTCCTGTTGCTGCTGCTGTTGCTTCTGCTTCTGCTGCTGGTTCTGATGTTCCTGTTGTTGCTGTTCCTGGTTCTTTTGCCGATCCTGCTTGTGCCACCTTTTCTGTTCTCACCTCTTACACGCACAATTCTGGGCGGTGTTTTGGAGTATTCTTGATCTACTTGCCGATCGGCTCCCTCCCGCTTCACATATCTTACATACACAACAAAAGAAGGATCGGCTTAGCTGGGCTGGACTGGCCTTGATCTGAAGTCGAGGTTCTTCTACTTTCTTGTTTTTTTTTTCTGCTTCTTCTCCCGGTTCTGGGTTTCCTAGGCTTGTCTTTCCCCGCGTTTTCCAACTACTGCTTCGGTTCGGGACCGTCTAGCGGGCCACACCTCCTTGCCCTTTCTCCCCTTGTCAATGATCTGTAAGATCCACGTTCCCTTCGACGGCATCGACGGTTCGTTTTGAGGGTTGGGTTGGCATTGTTGTTGGGAGGGACATTCCATGACAAAGACATCCGTGCCGTGGATGGTATAGGCTACCAGGTCGTCTTTCTTTCTCCATTTTGTATCATTTTGTTCTTTTCCACTTTTCTTTTGGATGATTCCGGGGACCACTTGTACAGTACCGTCGCCCTTCTTTTTCTTTATCCGACACAAGGATTCCGGTTCCTAACCTTCTTATTCGAGACCCCCGTGGCCATCCTCATACACCTCAACACCAGGCTCTACCGTCCACACTCCCAGGCATGACGAACGATGCCAGTTACAACCACGGCCTCGCCTACGAGGGCGAAAAGACGCCCTTTCTTTCCGGGAATGAACCATTCTTCGACGACCTAGAGCACGCCGCCCACTCCCCGCCGTCGCCCGGTATCCGTCTCCCAGCATACCTATCCCAGTACCGTCCCCGACAATGGAGGACATCCAAAACAATATCCATACCCACCATGCCGACGACATCAACAATAGGACCCGGTGCCCGCCGCGCCCTGTCTAACCTCCCCTTTCTCCTCCGCCGAACATTCGTGTTCCTCCTTCCTAGTTTTATCCAACCGCTGGTCTCGCCTACCCCGTCCTCTGGGTCGCAGCCGTCTGCCCGGCCCGGCCCGACGGCATATCTTGACGGTATGCGGGGGCTGGCGGCGCTGATTGTGTTTTTTTGTCGTGAGTTTCCTGGTATCTACTCCCCCTCTGCAAGAGAGGTGACTGACCGATAGGCAAACAGACTTCCTCTACACCTCCTTCGTCATCGCCCCCGGCTACGGCACGGCCCAATCGCACTACCACCTCCCCCTCCTCCCCTTCATCCGCCTCCTCTTCTCCGGCCCGCCCATGGTCTGCCTCTTCTTTGTCGTATCCGGCTACGCCCTCTCTCTCAAACCCATCCGCCTCATCTATTCCCGTTCCCATTCCCGTTCCCCCCCCTCGCATTCTTCAGCTACGAAAAAAGACCCCGACGCCGACCTCCTCCGTACCCTAACCTCCTTCACCATCCGCCGACCCCTCCGCCTCTTCCTCCCCCCCTTCCTCTCCACCCTCCTCGTGATCCTCCTCGTCCACTTCGGCCTCTACGACGCCACCCGCCCCATCGCCACCAACCCCGTCCTCTTCCGCAACGTCCGCGAACCCCACTTCGGCTGGGACGACTCTATCCGCTCATCCACCCTCTGGCAACTCATCCGTGGCCCCTGGGCAAAAGACATGTTCCGGTTTGTGCACGTCTGGGACTGGACGACGCCGTTTGGGGGCAGCACGGGGTTGGATGTGCATTTGTGGACGATACCGGTCGAGTTTCGGTGTTCGATGGTGGTGTTTTTGACGGTGGTCGGGACGGCGAGGTTGAGAGGGGGGTGGAGGGGGTTGGTGCTGGGGGGGTTGGCGGGGTTTGGGTATGTGAGTGGGAGGTGGGAGATGGTGTTGTTTTGGGCGGGGATGGGGTTGGCGGAGTTGGATGTTGTTAGGGGGGCGCATGGGACCTCGGGGGGTTCTTTGGGTTCGGGTGGGGAGAAGGGGGGGATGGTGTTGCCTGCGCCGGGGTTGATGGCTGGGGGTGGTGCGGGGGTTGGGTCACCGTCGTCGCCGTTGAGTAGCAGACGCAGCAGCAACAGCAGCAGCCGTACATCCTCCCCCTCACCAACAACCCCCCTCAAACACCGTCACCGACACCACCACACCCTCCTCCACCGGGCCTTCATCACAACCCTCAGCATAACCGCCCTCTACCTGCTCTCCCAACCCGACGAAAACGGCGCCGAAACCCCCGGCTGGGTCTACCTGACCAGTCTCATCCCCCAATGGTGGACCGACGAGCACCGCTACTGGCAGAGCGCCGGCGCCATCCTGTTCGTGTACGCCGTGGGACGGTCCCGCGGGTGGCAGCGGTTCTTTACGCTGCCGGCGATGCAGTATTTGGGAAGGATCAGTTATGCGTTGTATTTGATGCATGGGCCGGTGATGCACACGGCGGGGTATGCGATTCACCGGTGGGCGTGGGGGGTGACGGGGACGGAGGGGGCGTATGAGGCGGGGTTTGCGCTGGCCGCGGTGGTGATTGTGCCCGTGGTGATTTGGGCGGCGGATGTGTTTTGGCGGGTGGTGGATGCGCCCGTTGTGAGGTTGGCGAAGTGGGTGGAGGTGAAGTGCTCGGTTGCGGAGTAGCGGTTATTTCTGGAAGTGTTAATAGTACATGAGTATAATTAATGACAGATACGGCCGAGGACAGGGTTCCTCGAGAGGAGTATCCAAAATAAATACCATGCCCTTGCGGGAGTACTGTATTTGTTTGTACATCTAACCAATCTCTTTTGCCTTCTTAACCCTAACCCTGCCCCTGAAACCCACCGGTATGTACCAAGTATATTATCAAAGCTATACCCCCCTCAAATGCGAATTATCCCTCTCGTCTATCGGCCTATACCGTTCCCTCAACACCTCCTCCACACTCCTCTGGAGCCTCTTCTCCCTTAACGCGCTATCATACCGCTCAGCCAGCGCCTGCTCAACGCCCGAAACCTGCCACAACTTCGCATCCGCCTTGGTGATCGCTCGCTCCTCGGCAAGGTGTGTAGCCGCCTTCGTCCTTTCCACAAGATCATGCGCCTTCCAAACTCCCCTCTCCACCGCCCCCTTCGCACCCTCCACCCCAGCAGCCACCACCTCCTTCGCCTCGACCACCACCTCCCGAGCCTCATGCTCCATCGCCTGCGCTATCGCCACCGTCGTGTCTCTTGCATGATGCAGCCTCTCACCGGCCGTATATCCCACCCCATGCCCCTCCTGCTGGTGCTGCTGTTGCCGTCCCTGCCCCTGCTGCTTCTGGTGTTCCTGTGATGGCTTCCGATACCCCACCGGCTCCCCCCCCCGTTCCATCCACCCTCTCGTCGTCCCCCTTCCCAACCGGTCCAGCTCCCCATCATACACCCCCTCACCCACGGGCACATCCACCGGTTCCCGACTCAACCTCCCCACTCCCAACACATCCGCTACTTTATCCTCCACATCCTCCCTTACTCGCACCCAATCCCTTCCCTGCAACCACTGCACCGCACTTAGCACCTCCCCGTTCCATCGCGCTTTGGCCTCTTCCACGAATCCCCCGGCCACTGGCAACGTGCTATCCCTTTCCCTCCCACCAGGGGAAGAAGTTTGCAAGCTTCCCCTCGCACGATACCCCCCATCGGGCGAAACCAAACTGGCGTTCCGTCGACGGCTGTGGGCGGTTGGTAAATAGGAGGCTGGGTCGTCGGGGACGAGGGAGTCCAAAGTGGCGGCTTGGGAGCGGAGGAGGGCGGATTGGGCGCGGCGGTGGGAGGCGTGGGTTAGGAGGGCGAGATAGGTTAAGGAGAGGGTTAGGGTTGTGCCGCCTGCCTGGGGGTTTACCTATTAGCAAATGAGAGAAGGGGGGGGTAAATGGGGGAGGGGGGGGGGGAGTACGAAGCCGGCGGCGAAACCCATTGTGGGAGAGGGATGTGGTGCGGTTTGGTGGGGTGAGTTGATGAGTGAGTTGATGGTGGTTGGAGGTTGGAATGTTGGACCGGAGGGAAGTTGATGGATATAATTAAATTAGCGTAAAATCTTTATGTTTTTGTCAAAGTATTTAAAGGTCTACGTCGCAAAAATTTGTAGGGGTTGGCAACATCTCGGTGTGTGAAACCTCGAAAATAAAAGTCGCAATCAGCGGCAGTTGAGCTTCTCAAAGCTCAGGTCAAAATGGATCAACGTCACTGACGCGATTCATGCAGGTACTTAGCGCACAGACCATCTAATTTTTTGATGGTGGGGCATCGATCGGCGTGGGATGGCCCGTGCTATTCAAGCATCCCTGCGCTGAGGGACCAAAAAATTCACGGGTTTTGTACGATACGGACGACAGTTTACAATTACAGAATACACTTCGACCGTCGACGAAATTAACAACCTCCGCCGACCACGAACCCCTCGACGGCCCTCTCCTCCTACGATCCGATATCCAAACCGACCCCCCCCCCCCTCTTCTGCCGAGAAAACGAGACACACCAAGAGTCTAACAGTCATAAACACCCACCATGGCAGGCGGCCACATGAAATACCGCCAACTCGGCCGCGACTCAGCCCACCGACAAGCCCTGCTACGCAACCTGGTGACCTCGCTGATCAAGGACGAGTCCATCCACACAACATGGCACAAGGCCAAAGAAGCCCAGCGACTCGCCGAGCGGCTGATCACCCACGCTAAGAAGAACACTGAGGCCTCGCGGAGGCGGGCACAGGGGATTCTTTATGTTCGTCTCACTTCCTCCTCTCTTCCCCTCTTCGTCCCCCAGAAGAGATGTTTATTAACGGTGTGATATCCCAAAAGATCCCCGACGAAATCCTCCCCAAACTCTTCACCGAGCTCCGCGAGCGGTACGCCGACCGACCCGGGGGCTACACACGCGTGCTTCGCACCGAGCCCAAGAGCCGGTACGACCAGGCGCCGAGCGCCATTCTCGAGCTAGTCGACGGGCCCAAGGACATGCGGTTTGCGGTGACGGCTGCGGCGGTCGCACGCGACCGGATGTTGGGCAAGTCGCATACTGATTGGACGCGCAAGAATATTGAGAAGGTCACAAGGTATCGGAAGGATGGGAGGGGCGCGTTTGAGGATATGGTGGGGAAGGTGGAGGAGTTGAATTTGGGGGGGACGGGGGAGGTGTCGCGGGAGGGGGCATAGAGAG